AAAATATTTAAATATTTTTTTTTTAAATTTGGTTAACAATAATTTTATTATTTAAATAAGTTTTACGGTTCCAGTACAATGACCACAGCATAATTGAATATTAGACTCTAATGCTTGTGATGCTTCCATTATGGCATTACATGTTGCATCTACATTATTCATTTTTTCTCTAGGCATTTTCTGTGCCAATATTTGTTGAGCTTGGGATTCAGCTTGTGTCTGGTGGATAGCCGAATGTACTTGGAGTTCTTGAATTTGTGTAGTTAATAAATGTTTTCTAAGTAATAAAGATATCCTGTTTATATCTTCAGCTATTGTTGTACTATCAAGTAGTTTTTGTTTAGTCGAAACTTCAAGTTTATAATAATTTTGTAATACCTTCAAATTCCTATATCATAAAAATTATATTAAGATTTATATGTTTCATACATTTCATGTTTAACATACTCGTGAGCCGACTTTAGTAGATGTCTATTTTTTCGATTTTCGTCCAGTACTGTTTGTAATGAAGCTTCTAATTTATCTACTCGGTCACACAAAAATGTTTTCCACTTGGATAAATCTTCTACTATTAAACTATAAAAATATTATTTACATTAGGTATATAGATATTAAACTAGAAAAAAAGGTAATATTTTATAACATTACCTGCCAGCTAAAAATTTGCTACGTAACACATCTCGTTCTCCAGCTACAGTTTCTAATTGATCTTGTCGACCAGCTAATGCTCCAGTAAAATTGAGCAATTTGTGTGCCAATAATACTTTATCCTCGGTTAACATTTGTATTTTAGCTTCTATATCTTCACCAATAGACGCAACAAGCATATTTTTAAGTTCGTTATTAACTTGTGCTTGTGAGCCCATTTGAAGATCCATATTAGCTATCTGTTTATTAAGTTTATCAATCTCTTTTTCTAGATTCTAAAATAAAATTTTAAGATGCATGAAATATAAGTATCAATTAATAATCGAAAATATATTTATTATACTATTCAATACATTAATGTAATATTAAGTAATATTCATCTCTTCACCTTTTTTTTCTTGAGTCAGCACAGTTAACATATCTTCTTTGTCTTCAGTTACATTTGATGTTTTGCTGCAATTAGATGCAGTCGACAGTCTTCTTTTAAATATGGCTACTGAAGGTTGACCCAACTCTGGCACTATTGAACGCACTGCTGCCTTATATGGCTCATAGGGAACAAATTTTGGTTCTTTATCGGGTGACTTTTTAATATTTTGATATTTTTTTGGACCAGGTGTCATTTCATGCATAGTTTTACTAGGATGAAATTGTCCATCATTACCTAATACTTTATTGCCATTTAATATATGATTTTTTTTAACTACTACATTCTCATTTTTCTGTTTTATATCAAAATTGTTAGATTGTACTTGTGCAGTTGGAGTATTATTTGAATTTTCCATTTTAAGTGATACAAACTGTGTACGATTTATTTCAAATAATTAAATAGAGAAACCGTACAGTCGTTGAGTAAAATTTTATTTCCAAATACTTATTTACTTTTAAGTTCAAGAGTGTTTGAAAAATTGGTAATTATTGTCACAGCCATTATTTTTTATTTTAAATAATTAATTTACTTAATATTACTGACTATAATAATAAATAGTTTATTTGAATTTAAAAGTTATTTTTTTAATCACAGTATATTACACGTATTCACTAATAAGAAACTCTAATAATAATATGAGAAATATTTTGGTTGTATTAAGTTATGATAAAAAAATAATGATAAGTGATAACAATTATCATCTATGTAATCATGGTAAAAACAGATGTTACCACAGAACTTTTCAACACCGTTACAACTGATGACTGATGAGTAATAATAAACGAAACAAATTCTCCTGATAAAGATACTTGTCTTATTATTCATAATAAATAATAATAATTTATTAATAATCATTCATAATAATTATAATATACACCTGTTACAAACTCATAATAATATCGTAGATTTTAATTGCACGTAAATGTGTGTAATTATTAGCATTATGTCTGCGAAATATAAATTTATATTATTTAAATACAAAATATAACATAGATTTGAGTCTAAATAGGTATCTAATAAATTATTTTTGAATTTAATATAAAAATATATTATTTTTATTTTTATTCATCAATGATTAAATAATATTAACAATAATAATTACTAGGACCAAGATGTTGATAACAATAATTATATCATTGTTACAATCACAGTCAAAAAAAGACTAGGACATTATTCTAATAAAAATAATATCATCTACTAACACCTACATTGTAAATATATAGTAATTATCTAAATAGATAACCTGCATAAGCTAGGAATAAGATTTTAATATAATTAAAAAAAAAGTTAACTATTTTAATAAAAAAATACCTACGTGATAAAGTCGATTTTTAGTATACCTACATACACAAACCTAACATTTTTGAATCCATCAATAAAATTGTTATCTCCTTTTTACAATAAGTTTGGGAACCGTATGTAATAATTTCGTGTTTTATTTATTTATTATTTTTAAACGTTTGAAAACATTTGGTATTTTTTACAATATTATACGATTAAAATTATTACTAGTTTAAATTTCGTGTATGAATAAAACGACTGTAATTAATAAAAGTGAATGTTTCATATAAAAAAAATGTATAGGTATTAATAAAACAGGTAGGTACTTAATATTTTTCTGAATTTAATTGTTAACTAAAAATTAATATTTGTAACCTATGCTTCGATTATTCAAAATTTTGTATGATATAAAACTGTTATACCAGCACAGAATGATTTTTTAAGTTGAGTGATAGACTTTTTCATATTTGGACTACCTAATGTTTTGTTTACTGTATAAGAATTATCATTAGGTACTTAACATTGTTACGGTAGCAAATAAGTATATTTTTTACTATTTATTCATAATGTTCCTTCGAGGGGTTTTCCTATATTTAAAGGAAACAACTACTTAGGTTTAATTAAATATTCCGAAGAAAAATATTTTTTTTTCTGAAAATTATGGTAAACATCGAAAAAACTTAGTTAAATTTTTATAAGAAAGTTTAAAATTGGTAGTTTTTGACATCCATACATGAGTTGTTTATTATTTACACCTCTTATCTTAACTCTCAATAGACACATAATAATATTATGAATAATAAATTTTTGGTCGATTGAATATTTATTTTGCAGATGATTTTAACTTAAAAAATATTAACATCGATTTTTTTAAATAAATTAAACTATAGACTTGATTAATATTAAAAACAAATTAAAAATAATTGTTACACAATAAACGAATAGATGGATAAACATATGTTTTTTTTTTATTTTTTACAAAAATGTAGTAGTAAATTATATTATGAAATATAGATGAAATCAATGATGAATTGAGACAATTGAATAAATTATTAATTTTTTATATCCTTATATTATAATATTTAAAGTTTAAACGTGTTAAACTGTTATTGTGTATGACAGTAAGTACGGGATACCTATTAGGTACTGTGAAATCCTCCAAATCCTTCAAATGTCTATATTTATAATTCCCCTACGTATTCAATTGTCTATAAATTTCTTTCCAAATTCCATAACAATAATATTCGTGTAGATTCTGATGTTAGTGTTAAATATTTTCCCTGTCAAGTGCCACTAGTGGGTGGCTTCTTACCTCAACTACTCATGTTATTATAGCTCTTATCAAATATGCTCATTGTTCATCATTGTACAGATTGTATATAATATTATGTAAAATAAAAAAAAAATAAAAAAGTGTTAAATATTAATAACTGTTGTGAGTAGTGAAATAAATTATTTACTTTAAATGCATCCCAACAACTGTTACAATTACGGATATAAATATATATAATATGGGACTTATATAGTGTATTTATAATAATTACTCATTATTGACAAAAGTATGTATAGTATTTATACTTTTCATTAAAATATTATGATATTATAATGAATTGTTTGTATAATAAAAGGCTCACTTTTTTAACATCCAACTCGTGCAGTTATATTTTTAATTTGTATTTTGTACATGCTTTTATTTTGTTCCAATACTTCCATTATAATAAATATCCACTCTGCTTTTCCTTGTCAGTTTTCTTCTAATTTAAAAAGGACTAACACACAAGATGTAATAATGTAATATTAATAATAATTATAATTTATAAATTATAACTAAGGCTAGAATAGTATAGGATTTTGCATATTTTTTTAGAATTTACAAGATATAGTTTTTCAAGCACGAAATGTGATTTGGTCGTCTACGAGTTTTAATATATAGTTTTTATTTTGCATTTTTTGCAGTTGTTGTACTTTTTTAATTTGAGGTCATTTTTTAAAACTTTAATGAAATCTGGGTAATATTTTTATAATTTTTTTTAATATATTTTTTAAATGGTCGTTATAAATTATTGTACAAACATATAAAGATACAACATTAAAATAAAATCGCAAACATATTTTCTAAAATTATTTAATACTTCAAAATACCAATCGTTTGTATAATATAAAATATACTCGTTGGACTAACCGAGCAATAACCGATAATAATGCTTGATTACGTGTTATCTTCATCAATTTATTATTAAATTTAAGTTTTACAATATTATTTAATTTCAAAATATATTAATTGAATGACGCTGGCCATTATACCAGAAGATGAATTAATTTGTATACTTAAAAATATAAATTATTATTTATTAATTTATTAATATAATTATTGTTATTTTTGAGCATTTTAAGAGGTCATTTTTTCTTATTGATTCATTTTTTAGGTTTTTAGGTCATCAAAATCCTAGCCTTAGTTATAACTATTGTAACACAGCGTTAAAAATAGGCATTCGAGCTACAGTTACACACTTACGGGATCATATTTCTTATCACCTTACTATAAAATAATAATAATTATTATTATTATTTTAAATACCATTAAAGTTTTATTTTACAAGTGAGTAATTGTAAATAATTTAAAATTAGTACATACATATAATATGTAAACATGTCTGTTATGACTGAATGTATATTTTATTAACCGAGTTGTGTTGTAATAATATTATTAGCAATTTATTTTTGATTTATATTATGTTAACAGTCGTGATTAAAACGTAAATTATTCGTACCTTACACAAATTTATTTTTATAATCTTTAACTGTTTTTTTTTTTTTATTATTATTGTGGTGTCTAGAATTGTGTAGACAACCGTTGTCTGAATAATCAACGTTTCGCTATTATAACTGTCATCTAGTACAAAAACACAAAAATCAACTGAAAAATTGATTTTAAAATCTTACCATCAGCCTTTCCGATCATAATATATAGATAAACAGGGTTTTGTTTGATAATAATTAATTTGTTATTTATTGGCCTAGTACTAGAATATATGGCTCTAGCCGATTTCACCTAACTCTAAATAATTAATTAAACGTTGGTGATTTTAATCAACTCACTAAAAATACGACATCATTACGTAATATAGTATAATATAAGGTATTAAGCATAAAATATATTTGAGAGGATAATATTATAATTATGTACTTTTACAGAAATTTCCAAGGTAATTACTAATTACTATTGTTATAACTAACTCAAAGATTTTAAATTAATTTATTTTTATTTATAATTTAATTTTAAATAAAAATTCAAATGATAATTGAAAAAATTGAACAATGGAACATCATAATTCATATTACATTGGTTATACCTACATTTTCATCATAAACCTAAGAGGCTTAGTTTAATAAAAAATTGAACTTATTCAATAATATTAGATATTGATATAAATATATTTTTTTTGAATATTGTTTAATGATTTCTATTATCTCTATTGTTAGCATCTTAAAAAAATAAACATTATTGAACCAAATTAAAAAAACATAAATGTATTTATTTCTATTTCAATTTGAAGGGTAAAATCAAATGTAATATCAAACTTAATCTTTATTTCAAAATTTTTTCCAATTTTCTCTAATAACTTTTGTTTTAAAAATGTTTTCTTAATTTTTTTTTTAATCTGTATAAAAATTGCACATATATTTGTAGATATTTGATTTTAATTTAGAGTATCATAAACAAAAATGAATTATATGTTACTTAGTATTACCGTTATATTAAAAAATAAAATAAATTATATTTTTACCAATTTTTGAATTATTTAGTTTATTTTATCTTTTTTTTTTAAAACTTACTTTATTGAACACAAGAAAAAATAATTTAAAAAACAAACTATATACCTAAATAAAGGAAAAGAAAATATATTTTAAATATCCCTTTCAGTCTCAAATTATGTTCTGATGAAAAAAAAATATTTATTACGTAATTATTTATATACGTGACAAAATTAAGAATTATTTTGAGTTTGAGAAATTTTTAATCACTAAGTCTTAAATTATTGAGACATGCTATTGTAATGGCGGTTGGGCGTTAAAGGTTGTGATTTTCTATGCCATCTTAATGACAATTGGGCAACAACGGATATAGATACAAAACAGTAAATCAAGTATTTTTAGTTTCTTTTTTTTAATAAATCTTAAATATTTTATAATTAAAAAAAATGTTTTACAAACCAAATAAACATTATAACAAAAAGGAACGGTTAAAGAACAAATCAACAAAGCAATGTTTACATTTATTGATAGGAAATTTATGATGATTTTGATACCTAATTGCCATTTTAATGGCATAATGTTTACGATACAATAAAACGATAACGATAAGTGGTAAATACAAAATCATTTCATAATGTGTTAAAAATTACAGTTTAGCCTCAAGAAAATAAAAAGTGGAATTTTTAGTGTTTGTATTCTTTTGGAATTAGAAGAAAAGATTCTAAAAAAAAAAAAATTCTGACCAATAATTTTGTTACTATTATTGCTTTATTTAGACCCTGTTAATTTCTTATTATTTTTTACGTACTCTACACATGTGTTTACGTATAAATCAATGATTACATAGCAAAAATAATTTGAATTGAATTTGATAAAGATGTTTCTTTTATTATGCCATTGAATAGGACTAGGAGACTGTACAAAATTAGTATACGTATTTTTTTTGTTTATAATGATAATACTAAATAATCGCATGAAATTTAAAAATTTAAAAATTAATAGGTACTTATTAACTTGCGTTTTATAATCAATAAAAAATTATTGATATTTCAGTATTTGATTTATTATAAGTCATTCATTTTTTAGTTAAAAAATATCAAAACTCTATAATCACAATTTTCTTATATAAGTATAAAATTAGAATTTTCGACAAAATTCATGAAAATTGCAAAAATTAATAAATTGTTTTATAATTAGAAATTCACAACAATTTTTTTTTTATTACCTAAGATTTAAAAATTTAAGACAAAGTTTTTTATAAGTTGTTCAAATTATATATGAAAAAAAATCTATTGGAAAACCAAAAATAATTTTTTAAGAACATTTCAAATTCAAATATTTACGACATTTGATATTCACTTATTAATTCTCCTCAAACAATTTTTGATATTTTACTGTATTACAAAAAATGTATGTATTTATTTAGGTAGTATGAATTTTTCTAAATGAAATAACATTTTTTATTTATTTTAATTATTACCTATTTATAGAAACAATGAATTTATTTTTACTGTTTTAAGGTATTTTCAAAAATATGTTATTACATTTTGAGTAATATAAATTTGTATAACTAATAATATAATAAATGCAATATTTTTGGAAAAATTATATCAACCCACTATAGTACTAAAAATGAAATAATTGATTTGAATAGTTTTATCAGAAATTATTATCGCTTTCTGATATAAGCTGATAGATCGTTTCCACTCAGAATCATTTTTCATATTCAATGATGTATCATTGAGTTTAAATTTAACAGACCTATAATAGTGACCAACTTGATAAATGATGCACGGCAGAGTAATACTCAGTTACCTACCTTTTTTTTATACATTATTTTTGTTTTTTAACAATATTGAGCTCTTGAAGGAAGCAATACTGAGTTTAAAAAGGTAATATCACAACATTTAGCATGTTGATATTGATGCAACAGAAATAATAGATGTATCATTTATAGTGTTTGCATTATTAAAATCTGTAATAACTTATAATGAAAAATTACAGTTTATTTCTAATTATGATAATCTAATCTAACGTACGCATTATGTTGACAATAATAATTGTAAAGATTATAGTGAAATTAATAGATTGCATTAAAAATATTACTAAAAAATCATTCAGTTTTAGTATCAATTAGGGAAGATTTAAACGTGATCTTATGCGATATGATTTAAAACTGGAAAATATTGCATCCTAGTATTCCGTCCAAAAATTTTAATAGCCAAAACCATTATATTGTGTTTTAGTTTGCGTTATCCCTATTTTTTTTTATTTATTTTTTTTTTTTGTGTGAATTTCTTTGTTAGTGAAGCATATTATTATAACTTATAATTCAATTATTTTTAACTAATGATAGAAGAATCCAAAATATACTAACAAACTTGTGGTTTAACTTGTATTGTTTATAAGCAAAAGCTTTTTATTAAAGTGAAAGCAGGTTAATATTAAATTAAATGATTATTTTGTACATAGAACATTACTTTCACTTATTCCATGTGTACATTTTCTTTATTGCAGGTATATATTTCCTTAAGCTTTTTACTTTAAACACGTTATAATGCTACTTACAAAACAAATTGAAATTTATTTAAATACTAAGCGTACATTATTAACTTATTTAGCTTAATAGCTCGTAATATTATATCAAAATTATATTCAATGCTGAATTAATTAATATGTAAATGATAGGTAATAATAATTAATACAAGTTTATTAATATATTTTTTTATTTATTTAAGTCTTTGTTTTTGTAATCGAATTAGTTGAAAGTTTCAAGTGTAAATGTTTATTAGATATAGTAGATAGTTGCTAATAATGTTTTCATTCGTACCTAAACCTTTTAAAAGTTGTGATTTGATAACAAAAAAGATTTTTGTGATTGGGTTAGTCATTCTATGTGGTTTCAACTGTTGGAAATCGGCAGGAGACTTTAATGTGTATTTCGGGTTCTGATTATTGTAATGAGCCTACCATACTCAACCTTTTTTCAGCTTGGACCATTTATATATTTTTGTTACGTGAGTTGCAATATAATAATTCTAAGAATACTATTACAAAGAAAGAGAGAGTCATTCGTAAAGGATAAAAATAAAAACAATTAAAAATTAATACATAATTATTTAATATTTCGTGATATTATTATAGTTTATTAAAATTAAATATCATTACTAAATTTGTGTAAATTGTTTTTAATCTTAATGTTTTAATCGCAAAAATACAGTGGACTTAAGGTTGAATATGACTGATATGAACGTTAGAAACGTTAGATACGTTATACACTGAATAATCATATGAATACATATTTCTATAAATATAAACAATTTTATTGTTTTGTGTGACTGCGTCAAAGAAGTTGCCATAATAGAAACCAATAATACATCGAAACTTAAGGATAATTATAGTGAGTATTATTGCACATTAGTACGCATACAGCGTTCTTGGATAAAACATAAAACCAACGGCAATGGAAATTTCTAAAATTAATTTTTACAACCGTTACAATGGTGTCGGTGAACACGTTTGAAACAATATTAAATCACAGTTACTAGTACTCCCGTCAAAGTGCATTACAGCGTAAACAAATTTGGCGTGTATACTCGTAGACATATCTATTAACAAAGTAATAAAATATGACGGATATAACAAAATTAAGATTGAATAATTGTGATTGTTTTTTTTTTCTAGAAAATGTGAGTTTAACTACATTTCAGGTATAATTATGTCTCCACGTCTCCATCTATTCCAAATATTATTTTATCGAAAACAAAAATGATGACATTAAATGTTTCGAAATTAATGTCATGATAAATTATATGTTATGATAATTCTACATAAATACCAACTACAATAAGAAGAGTTAACAATGATGTATTAAAATTCAGATAGTAATTTTATTGAGTCAGAAAAAAATTATTACTTTTAAAATGATCATCTATTCAATAAAGTTAAAATTTTTATAAATATATATTAAAATACATATTATATTATTGTTTATTAATGTATTCAATAAGCCATAATATAGTAATCTAAAATTTTAAAATATAAATAATTTTAAAGTAACCAAATAATACTTAAAAAATTAATGATTCTTAGGTATGTTTTAATTTTTTTTATAAAAACTATTGTTCAAATTATAAGGATTTATTTTATGTTGATAAATTTGTTAACGCATAATATCAGTTAAAATTTATAAATCTTATCATTAGTTTTAGTATGTACATAAAACAAAATTTAAAAATTAATTTTTTTTCTAAAAAATTAAATTTAAATACTAAATACATAATATCGCGTTATTTTAAATTTGAAATTTTAACAATAATACAGAACATTCAAAAATAACATTTGTGTTAACATGAGTAACATTCGTTATAAATAATAATCAAATTAGAGTTAAATGTGGGTAGCTTAAATAAACAGCATATTAAGTATATTAAAATCATCAACGGAAAAGGATTATTTGGAGGTAATATATAGGCATATCTGGGTAATTTTAATTGCTACGAAAAGCTTAAACTGAAGATCTACATAAGGATTTTTTTTTTTTGAAAAACAGTTGGTTTGTAAATGTGTGTACATCAATAATTATTTATACAGGGTATCAGTAATTCGATTAAGTGGGTAAATTGCTTAAAAACGAATGTGACAAAAAAAAAATTATTTCGCACTTTCAGCCGACTTTTATGAGTATAAATAAAATTTGAAAAAAGCTGCCACGAAGGGTGTATTATACGTTACGTATGTAGTATACAGTTGCGGAGTTTAAATGTCGCGGTGGCTGAAGGGGAAGGGGTCGATACTGTGGGGAGGTAGTTGTACGGGCATGAGTGGGGTGTGGTTGAGCAGAGGAGAAGAGTGTAAGTGATGGGTGAGAAAAGGAGAAGGGGATCGGTAGGTAAGGCGGAGTAACGGTAAGAGGAAGACGAGGGGGAAGAGGAGGTTACCGCCAAAGACCATGTGCACGACCGGAGATGACGTCACAGGAACAAACGGGATGTGTCGCGCGCGAGAGGGGAAATATTGATTCTGGTACGGCGGCGCTGCGCCGACCGCCGCGTTTCTCTCCGCGGATTTCTGCCGCCGCGGTAGTCTCTCTGTCCGAGCCGTCGGCCAACCGACGACGCATACCCGGATCCCGGCGTCTCGTGTACGCGCGTTGTGTCCGTTACCCTCCCATACACGACATTCACACACACCCACATACCCACACACACACACACCCACTCACACACAAACCACACATATATAAATATATATTAAAACAGACACATACACACACACACACACACACGCACTTGAAAACACACACACACAAGCACACAAATACATATACGCACAGACCAACGTGAGTTATACGCATCTGCATGACGTACGGTACACGATAATAATATTATACGTATAAAATAATATTATATATATATATATATATTTATGTTATCGTGAACGCCAGTTTTTCGTTGTGTTTTTTTTTTAAAAAATATTTATTTTTTTTTTTTTGTTTCCAAATTTAAAAAAAAAAAATCTCTCTTTTCTTCTCGTCCGTATTGCAGTGATACCTAACAACACAACACAATAACGTTATAATTTCGGCGAACGATTTAACGTATAGGCGTGCATGTGCGCGTAACACGGCACTATAGTAAAACACCGTTCGCGAGCATTATCTATTTCTCCCTCCTCGGCGTCGCGCGTGCCGCCGTCAGCCCTCGCGGCGTCCGCATCCGACTCTGACGCCGCGCGTACATTCGCGGACGCCGGTGCAGTTCGTTTACGCGCCCGCTATGGTAGTTGTGTGTATCGCATAAATTGCACGTGCGGATTTCGATCGTACGCCGCCGCGGTCGGTCGCCGAAGTCAAGAGACGGACGGTTAACTCACCGGCAACGGACGTAAAATCGTTGCCGTTGTCATTATCGTCTTCGTTATTATTGTCGCCGTATTATAATAATATTATCGTACGATAACGTGCGACGGACATCGGTCGTCCTCGCAATTGTCGTGGTCGCCGCTGCCACCACGACCGTAGCTGCCGTAGTCGTATTCGCCATCGTCGTCGTCGTCGTCTCCGTTACCGGAGCAAAGGAGCCGCAGCCGACATCTCGTCCTACGAGTGCTCTATACTCGCTTAGGTAAAAACCAATACGGTATAATAACATTATTATTCTCATAATTCAAACCGGGTGTGCTATATACAGCTACGTCGTTTTGTCGCGTCGTGACGTATGGCTTTTATCGCTTTCACGAATTCGCGCTAACCGTGAAAAATTTCCAGAATTAAGTCCACTTTTGTACACGATAATACCGCAAACGACGTAGCTGTGAACCTGGTTTTCGCATAATACAAATATTCCGTTTTGAGTAGGTACCTATACCACCGGTCCGTGCACGATCGCTATAACAGTATTTTGCTTCAATAATAGACCAAACCTATGTATACATATATATTGACGTTTACCTTTACATCACAGCTATATCTATCTATAAGAAACTTTTCTGATTCACGTCACGAATTTCGGACTGGTCGGTACTTATATTACTATTACGTTCTACGGTCCTATACACATCACTGGGTATATAAACCGTATCGATTTCGCCGTATTTTTTCGCATCTAGACCCCTGGTTCATTTTATGCACATTATATTATATTATACAATAATAAATTCACGTATAAGAACATTTTTAGTTTGCACATATAATCATAGACTGTCAGAAATGAATATTCGTTGCAAAAATATGAATACAGCTTCACTCCTAATTCGAAAATATATCTAAACGCTTGTGTAAAAATCGGAAAAAAACTTAACTTATTTTATACGCCCGTAATGAGAATTTACTCAATATTTTTGTTGTATAATATAGTTATACGATCATTTTTACAACGAGTTGTAATAAGATGTGATGTTTAAAATGTTTGACAGTAATCTATCTTCACAAAAAGTTAATCACACAATGTCGGTAAAATTATTAATATTTTAACAGTACAAATATTTATTACGCCATGTTTAATATGTATTTTTGGTTTTAATGTAATACTTGCAAATATACGAATATAATATAAATCGGTCGATTGGTAGAACACAGTCTATTACTTGATTGGTAATCATATAATATAATATGTGCTAGAGTTATCTTTGAGGTTAGGTGTGTGTAAAATATAGGCTGACAATATCATAGTTGCTGTCGAAACTTAGCGTAGACTGCGTACAATTCGGCTTAACAATAACAATACATATTATATTGCCACCCCTTATTCTTAACCCATTGACCACCACCACCGTGGTGTTTTAATATCATATCAAATTACACAAGCAAGCATGCTGTGAAATGTAATTGGTGTATTATTATTGTAAGGTTGCAGCATGAAAGGCGTTCACCGTGAGTCCTACAAAAAAAAAAAATAAATAAATAAATAAATAAATAAAAATAAAAAAAATCGAAATGTAATCTTTCCCGTCATCGATGATGTATAATATTTATAATTCGTAACCATTATCAATGTAAATGTGATCGATTTTACATCTTTGCAGTAAAATTGTTCGATGAGCTTAAAGATTTTATTTTGTTAAACAACAACAGTATGTAATAAGACGTAGTTGTGTAATTTATATTACTTATAGGAAATAAATGTTGTTAAATACAGAAAGGTTAAATATTTATATATATTACTCAGAGATAATTTATAATTTTGTTTACATATCTTGTTAGCCAGGTTATCAGAACATGCCATCAATAGGACAGTGCACATGTATTATTTGGTTTTTACCATGAAAAACGGTAGAAACAATAAAATTTTAATAATGTGCGAAATTAAAGTGCATTGTAACATAAAATGGATTTTTGGACTAGTACTTAAATTATTAATGTATTAGTCACATTAAAATACCTAGGTGTTCATAAAATGTATTATGTATTATTTAATAATTTACATAATCTTAATTTTTTATACTAAAAGTTATAGTTTTTTTTTTGTTTTATTATTATTAATTTGTTTTATCAACAAATTAGTTATAGATATTTTGTGTGTAGTGCAATTATTCATTATTATTATTATTATTATTATTTTAACATTTATTTCATACATAATTCTTTTATTTAAATATGTAGTACAGTAACCAGATATTTTGTTTTTTTTTTTCAAAGCATTACTTTTAAACCTTTATTCTTGTTATAGAAAAAACTTCTTAAACAGTAACTTACATTTTTAGTTAACCGAATTTTAAATATTTAAAATACAGTTTGTTAGGAAAAGTTTTGATATTATAAGAATTAATCATACAATAGAGCATAGGTACACAATAGATTTTTATACTCGTTAAAAACAGCCTAAACAAAAGCCATAGTAATTTTAAAATGCTCTTTTAATGACCTTTAATTTATATTAACTGTTGAAATTATCTACATATAAATATGTTAGATACATATATATATTGCGTGTTATATTTTTTAGGTAAAAATTTAAATTACTTTTAAAATTATCAAGCTTAAACAAACAAAATATTAAATAATCACTATCTCTGAAAAACAAATAATTTTTAATATAAAATTATTGAAACATAAAAAGCATAAAATATAATATGATATTGTCGTATTATAATGTCTAATTATTATAATACCACAAAATACAGACTCAAGATTTTATCAATATATAACATGTTACCATGATGTGATACACAACCAATTTAATGTTTGAAAAATATCAAATGGTTTAAATATTTATTATTTGGTTTAGAAAATGATGTCTGAAACTTAACTAGTTGAAAATTGTATAATAAAAATAAATAAGTAGAAAAAGTGATCATTACTTTTTATAGCTTTTTCCCAATGTTGAAAAATTCTCATAGTTGCCTATGCTATAAAATTTAATTTCTTCCCTTCGTATCATTTGTGGTGTAGAAATGTACTGTAGGTTTTAAGAAAAGTAACGAAGAAAAAAAATGAAAAACAACCACTCCACTGGAAACTAAATGTTGTAGGTATATAAAAACTAAAATGTTCATCTTTTTAATATTTATTATTTTGGTTTTATAATATTTACTTATATAGGTACTACTTACTAAATACCTATTTATTTTTTTTTTTTTTTTAATAACTTAATACTTGTATTATAAAAACTAAACAGTTATCTCAACTTGAAAGCATATATCTGATAAACAAACATAATTAAATTAAATTTTATAATTTAAAGGTATATATAGATATTTAACTTTTTTACATTACCAGTTCACAAATATTGCAATTGATATAGCTAAAATATATATAATTTAGACAGTACATTTTTAGAAGTTTAAAATTTATGACTGGGAAAGGTCAAAATAAGCCTATTCCTTATAAATCTCACAATATGAAAAATAAAATAAATATAATCAAAAAATCATATAATTATTTGTTATAATTTATTAAATAATATATATAAAATTATTTGAATAGTGATGAATGTGTTGATTTTATAATGAGATGGTTTTTTTTTTTATTGCATTATTTTTTTTCACTGTAAAAATGGTTAAATTTTAAGCTATTATTGCAGTTTTTGTTAGTAAATAATTATATTTAGTACTTTGAAAGGTTGGGTAAAGACAAAAGTAAAAACTTTTAGTTATTTTAAAAATAATTGGAAAAAACAAAAACAAATTAAGAAAGGATTATAAATATAAAAATTACCAACTTTCGACAAAATTGATTTAGTTTATAAAAAATGTTTAAGTTCGTTTAAGAATCATTTTTTAAAGATTACCATGTAGCGATATAATATTATTTACATTTTATAGCTAAAATATTTACACAAAAAGCAGTTTTAGACATGATTAGATAATTTGATTAAATATAAAAATAACAGCAACTTGACTTTATTTTACTAAATATTAAAACTATAACTTCATTTTAGATGTTCAATACATTTTTGATTTTTTCAAGACAATTATAGGTATTTTAATTTTTTAATTTTTTTTTTTTTATAAATGTTTATAAAAAGAAATATCAGTAAAAAAACTTGAAAATATAACACAATTAATCATATTCTTTACTTCATCTGTTAAAAATACACTGGTACAATTTTAAATCCCTAAGATTAATATTTTTTAAACTGAAGTATATTTATAAAAAAAATAATAATTTGCTATCAACCTAACGGTTAGGTCCTAACCTAACCTAACCTAGTTATTTTTATAATAAACTGCAGTTCAAAAAATATTAATCCTAGGATTAAAAACTTTTTGATCTTAGTAGATTATTATCTCTATAGACAATTTAAATTTTAAAAATAGACTAATTTTAAGCTATTTATATTTTTTACCACTGTTCTGATCTTATCGTTTTAAGGTACATGGGATTTTACTTAAAAATAATAATTATATAATAAATGTATTTTTTTAGTAAACTTTATTTCAATATACCGCATAACTAATGAAAAAATAAATTAATAATAACAAAACGTTTAAAAATATATCCTAAAAAATAAATTTTATAATTATCAATATTGTTCAGTATTATTTTTATTAAACAATGATTTATTATTGAATTCAAATTTAACATATATTTCAGTGATTTATTTAATGACGATAAAATTTTATTTTTAATCGATATTTCTTGTTTTATTTCTTAAAAAAATAACCGCTAACAAAATACATCAATAATATTATCTGAAACGTAAAATGTATTGTTATTATCTCTTATATTTCAAGTTATTTTAAAGGCCAATAAAAATCGTTCTGTAGATCATGAAAATACGTGAGACAGACAATCTGGAGTGCACTTAGAAAATTCGTTAAACCAAAATTTTTTATTTGCCTTTTTGTAGATCCTCAACGACTAAGTGCACTTAATGTAAATTAAAAATATCTCAACCTTGAATTCTGATTAATTAGCTGAAAACAATTGATTAATATTCACAAATTTTTCACTTAACACCTAAGGTTAAGACCTCAATAAAGTGGTCTTATAATGGTAAAAAATTAATAAAATAAATTCATTCGTGATAATTGTTCTAGTATGAAATAAATATATTTATATTCAGGTAAAAATATATAGAAAAAATAAAATAATAATTTAGGTCTAATATAGTTGTGATAGGGTTATATGAATATATAATATGTTACTTGAGTATAAACATGCAATAAAAAAAATTTTATCATA